TGGAAAATAAAACAATAAATATTGTTTCGAATATATATGAATGCCGAGTTGCAAGGCCATCAATCAAGCAAAGCGAATTTGTGAAGACATTTGAGTGCGCAATATATTCCGTTCTGAAGCGTTTTTATGGGCTTTGCGGCTGTTACGATTCAATTATTTTGTTCGATGTTCTTGCAAATCATACGGAAATAATACGAACTCGATGTCATTTTCGATACTTTTAATGGCTACGTTGAAAGTTACCGGTTGCCCAATAATTCTAAATGAACTGCAAACAAGCATTCGCGAACATTATTCGTTTGAACTTTAAGGCCACCAGTTAAAAACTGCAAATCCTTTCACATCAAAATTTGAGTCGATCGACAGAAAGTGGCTGGTTTGAAGACGAAAATGAACAAGGTATTAGCATTCACAATTAAATTTGGTGCATTCGAAATAATTACTTAGGATCTTAGGATAATTTTGATCAACATTAGAATTATCTATATTTTTACAGTACTCCACTACTCTACTATTTTTTGTTGGCTTATAATTTGATTCCTTGATGAAATAGTTTCACTTTAAAAATAAATTAGGTGACTTGAAAAGTCACTAATTTTTATTCATTATTAATTTATATTTTATTTAACATGAATTATCTAAAACATATGTGTCCCTACATATATGTACGAGTATGAGTATACGACTAAATTTATATAAAAATAATCATAATTGAAGTGAATTCATAAAAAATATTGTAATTGATTAAAACAACAATAAACTGCTATAAGTGTGATTACCTGTGATGTTGAAGAATATTATATTATGATAGCGCTACAAAACATATAATTTAATTTTTAATAATTAAATATGTATATTTATGACATTTAATTATTTGTGTCATTTATTTAAAACTGTTGCACCTTATCATTTTTAGAAATATGAAAAACATTATAATAAAATGGATTTTATTCCGCTTTCAGCAGTTAATATAAAATTTTATATATTCCTTTCCTGTATTTCTTTATTATTTGCAACGATCTATAAAAACGATATAAAAGTCCGTAAAGCTTGCAAATTACATCAATTGATAAATGAATGCGACATTCTAGAATGTCTGTATTTATAACATTCAAGTTTCTCATAATATTGAATGTCAAATAAATATCACTTTTTATGCACGGGTAGTATTAGAGCGTTATTATTTGCTTAGCAATTTATTGCTTAAAGACCTGGAGATTGCATTTAGAAATATAATTTATTTGTATATAAAATAATAATAAAAGAATTAAAATAATGGCTTGTATCGGCTCCCTTATAGGCAAATGTCGACTAGTCTTGAATTTGAGATACCGGGTTTGAGCTTTCTGTTTTCAAGCAGTAGTGACAACAGTTTTCACTTGGGAATATAGATAACAATATATTTTGAAGAGAAAATAGCCCTAATCTGGTATTGCTACATCAATAAATATTCATCCTATTACAGAAATGGTAATAATAGTTCAACACACAGAGGATAACTGTTTGGGTTGTCATCTATAGAACCGACTATTCTTGAGTTCTGATTGCTGTTTAAAATAGTAATAAAATGCTCTGACTATGAGTTGGATGATTTTCTTAACTTCTTGATGCTTGAAAACTGATACCGTTATGGTGATATTTTGGTAATTGATAATACAAAAATAATTATCGATTAGATTTTTAATTTAATTACTGCTGATACGCTTTTAAGCCTATATTACACATTGGGATGCTGAATGGGATATTTTATTCGAAGATGCTTCTAATACAGCTCAGCAATCAATCACGTAAGGTACGAGAGCTATTTTTCATTTTGATAACTAGACGTAACAGAATAGCATTTTTGTTTAAATTTTTATTTATATGTATAACACAGCAACACGTGTTCGGGTACCGCTAGTATATAATATAATTGTTATGTAGATTCTTTTTAATTTAAAAAAAAAAATGTTTTATTAATTTCAGTATAATACTAATTTATTTTTATTTATTGAAGTTTTTGAAATACCTGTAAGCAGGTGAATGCAGCTGATGCTAAACAATAAATTAAAATAAAAATATTCAAGCTTATTGTTAGTGACAAACATGTTTATAAATTTTACAGCACCAAAATCAAATTTTGTATAAGCCCCTCATCTCATATAAAATACATCGGATGTTGGTGAAATATATTAGTTTCTTCCGGCATAATATTCATTTCTAAGGTGAACTCGCGAAGTTATCAAGGCGCGTGCACGAATAAGCATCAATAATAACTTTCGGTAGCTAAGAAAGCAAACAAATTCCCAAGATGGACATGATAGGCAATTTTCGTATATGGTCACGTATTTGATAAACCGAATCCAATTTACCAAAATACCTCGTTTAATACGCCATTGAATCGCCCTCAACCGTTCAAATGGTACGTGGATTTCCCCTGAGGCAGCAACACCACAGCTTTTGCTCTTATAAACCACTTGAGAAAAGATCGGAAGGAAACGGCCGAACATAGAATAGAATGGCGACGCTTTTGTATCGCATCGTGTGGGGATTATTCTATTGTGCCCACTAGATTAGTTCCACTGTCAATGGGTCAATAATTGGGCGACCGGTGCTTGATGGCTCACTCGACGACTTGAATCGGTGGGGCGTTGGGAAGATTATTTTAAAAGTCACTTTACTATTACTAAATAGAATATATAGATTGGTCCTTAATATGGAATTTTTTTGCTCCCAGGGGCTCAAATGCTTCCCTGAAAGTTTTAGCTTTTAATATTAACTTTAATATAGTCCTACCCCAACCATAGTTTCTTGGTTCTTTTTCCCAAGTAAATAGTTACTTACTGATATATAAAATATATTAAATTTTTGTTATATTTTTTTTATTTATGATCAAAATAAACGAATACAATGTTATTCTAAAAAAAAATAATAGAAATTTACCCTTGTTATTTTCATAAGAATCTTTGGTCGTCTAGAATTATTTTAGAGCCTAAATTGAACCAACATTAAAAAAAAATCATGTTTGACATATTTGATTATTTGACTCTAATACTATATCAATTAATATCAAACAACAAATGTCTGATAGATTTTTTCGAAATTTGAGGTGTTATTAGATTAATTAATTCTATAACGATTTTAATTTACAAGTCTATCCGACATGATACTTTTATAATCAAAGTCTGCTTATTCAAGATATTATCAATATTTCAAGAATATATAATAATATAGTATATTTCAAGCATATATAGTAATTTATTTTTGACAGACAAAAAAAAATAGATTTTATCAAACTACTAAAAGATTTTATTGTTCTCTAATCTGTTTAAGTATGTTTATAAAAATACATTGCAAAAATTTATAATTAATATGATTAGGATAAATTTTAAATTTCGTCTGCGTAAATAGCTAACTTGGCTCAATTTGCGATTTAAAATTTTGCATTCAATTGTGTTGAATTAAATTAAATTGTTGAATGTAAAAGCAGTTGTTTTGATACATTGTTATATCGAAGACTAATTTTTATTTACTTTAATGAAATCTTTTGTATAATTCATATTAGTTGATTGAAATTTGAAAGCTTGTTTGGTTTTAAACTTTATACACCTGTGATTAATATATATATTTCATTACTTTATTTTATATTATTCGAGTTCATGTAGCTAAATTAAATAGTAAAACGTGGTTACAAATAGTGGTTTACGTATCTCGCAAATTTTGTTTTGCATTTTTTTGGTGTGGGCTAGGAACATCGTAGTGCAATTAGTATCTAGCAAGCTTAGAAACATAAATTGTCTGTTTGGGTTGGTACGATTATTTGCTTGGGGGTATAATTGTTCAAAATATGATTTGTGGATTATTATCAACACATCATAATATTCAGTAATAATCTATTTACACACAACACAACATTTTTATTAAAAATTTTTCATGATTCGCTAATGTTTTGAAGATTTTGAGCTTTCAAGTTTATGTATTCAGGTGAACAAATAAATATTAATAAGATTAATAAATTCGATAACATATATTATTATATTTGGTAATAAATTTGTCTTACACATCATTATTTCAAATTTAAATAAATAAAAATTTATATAAAGTCAAGTAATATTCAATTGGTAACGATAGTTATATATAAGTATAATCTAATATATTGCTTTTACTCAAATTGTTTGAACCGACTTCAAAGTAGTACTCTTTAAATATCATAAAGCTCATAAGAATTTAATTAGATTTTGAAGACTTATTAATACAGTTTTGTCACTTCATTTCTTTCAGTCATCTATATGAGTATTTTTCTGATTAGTCGTGGTCAAGCTGGATCATAAATGTAAATCAAACCTGCGGTTTTTAATATGCCGACTGAGCTAATAATTATCGGATTATTAAGATATTCCGTTGTAATACTTTAAGACGAAAATAATTTTTTTTTGATTTGCACAAAAATGTAAATGAAGTAAAATGACTAATTTTAAAATATCATAAAAATTTAGTCTCAAATTCTTGTTGTTTGCTGTATAAATTATTATCTTCTAATTTCTTAATTTTGGAAAAGTAATACGAAAAAAATCTAAAATTATGTCCTGAAATATGTTTTCATATGTTAGTCTTCTTCCAGTGATACAAGATCTTTTTAGATATTTTTTATGTTAATTTTTTACTTATTTTAATTTTTTTATTAATAACTAAATGGCTTCCCATTAATCACGTGCTGTTTAAGAGGGGGGGAGGCGTTTGGCTAAAAATCACCAAATATGTGAGGTGTAAAATATTTCTTTTTTTTTAAAAAAAATCAAAAAAATGATAGGATATTTTCTAGGTATTAAAAATGCTGCTGTTGTAAGGAGGGAAGGGGTGTATTTTTAAATATCACTACTTATCACTAAATGGGCGGGAGGGGTTCAAAGTTCCTTAAAAAAATCCATCACGTGATTAATGGACGACTTCTAAGTTTATATTTATAAAATAACATTTTTTGTTTTCACACATATTTACTAATTGTTTCTTTTTCCCTCCAGATGTCGCTGGCGCCACCGCCGGCCTTGCCGTCTTTTCCGCTACCGCTGCCGGGCAACCTCTCAGCCGCTGCGGCAGTCGCAGCGGTTGCTGGCGGTTCACCCGCAGATTCGGCGAGTAATAGCGCGTCGGGAATCGACGCTGACGCCTGGCCACCATTCTATGACGGTGGTCCGCCATGGTGGCCGGGCGGCGGTTTTGCACCGCCACCGCCGAGACCAACATTTCTCGAAGATAGCATAGTAGCTGACGGACTCACCACATGTGATTTATGTTCGTGGGCGAGAAGAGGACAAAGGGACGGGCTAATTACTGAAGGTAAGAAGAAAAAAAATTAGCATCATCTTTTGTTTTACAAATTATATATTTTTCATGAAATTTTGATTACACGAGAACAGCGTTTTCAAAAATATGTATAAATAATACATATACTTACATTATCAAAGATAGAAGTTTCTAGTGCCATCCAAGAAAGCTATTGTTTTGTTCATCTCGCTGACAGTATCATCCCGAAGACAACTTTATTATTTAGTACTTCGCGATACTTGTATATTTCCGTGACCTACTAAACTTTAAGTTTTCTTTGTCATGCTCTTTTGTAAAAAGGGGCTTTATGGAAAATCAGTTAGGTGATAAAAGCTAGTATTTTTAATAGCGGCGTACAGATCATTAGGTCATCCAAACTGTTCTTGTATTAAACTGCCTCATGGGAATACGAAACACGAGTGATTCTGATTTAATTGATTATACGCATATCAGTCATTGAATGATAATTATTGCAGAGATTGTTTCCATAGTTTTTAAGATAATTGCTATAAAATTGTATCCGCAATAAAATAATAATTCTAAAATATAGCTCATATGCGTCACGATTGCCATTTTTATTTCAACGCAGAAATACATAAGAATTCCTATAAGCTAAATTGACAATATTTGAGAGCGATGTCTAAGAAGAACTCCAATGAGATCTTCTTATTGTTAGTTTAACAATTGAAAAGATAATGATATATTGAAGCTAATCCAAGACTAAATCTAAAGGCCATTGACGTTTCAATCTTCTTTCGCAAAATGGTTGGATAATGTCGCCTATTGATGGGTTTGAATGTGATTCCAGTTTACATTTGTATTTTTCCTTAAATTCTTTGAACGTTAATTGCATCGTTTTTATGTTGAGATCGCTGTGAATGATTCTCTGCATTATAGCTATATTTGATTTGTAAGCACATCCCTAGAGCTCAATTCCATAGGTCCAGTTTGGTTTAATGATTGATTTATATAGCAGCAACTTATTTTCAACGATTGCCAGTCTTAGAGGGAATAAATATGATAAAAGTAATGTGAGAACACGACAAATCAATGATTCCTTTTCCCATTCTTACCATTACCATTTTATCACCATTAGTTGCGTTTTTATATCACTTTTATGCATTTTTCTTCGGAGCAAAACTTCTGCTTTCATGATTCCTGGTCCTGTGCTTCGGCTTTCAGTTCCCTGTAATTATCTCTTCGCGTAAGTCATCAATTTTCTGCATTTTACTTCTCGACAATCTTTTTATTTTCTTGTTTTTGTATTTTACCTTCGACGACTTCGTATAGGAGGCACTATTTTTGCAAAATGGATCCAATCCAGTTTCCTGTACTTTTAATGCTCGCGCTCAGTAGACCATTTCTCTTTCTCTCTTTCCTCTTTCTTTACCCATTCTCATCAGAACTTCTTCATTTGTTACCTTATCCGTGTTGTTATCTTCTTCAATCGTCTCTAGTAGACTTCTTTTTTCACCCATTCTCATCAGAACTTCTTCATTTGTTACCTTATCCGTGTTGTTATCTTCTTCAATCGTCTCCAGCACCACATTTCAAAACTCTTTAGATAGTTTTTGTCGGACTTTCTTAGAGTTTACATCTCTGATCCGTAATGAGCTATGTTTTAGGCATAACACCTCATTTTGCGCCTCTTCCGCAAGTCGGCATTCAGCTTGCTAATAACCAAAATCAAGTAGTATATTTAAACAAATTATTAATCTAGATGTGACTTCATCTACAATTGTCATAATATGGTCATAATTGCAATATAAATAAAATATTATAATATATGAATTAAATGCTTTGCAAAATGTATACATGTTATATTAGACAGAACATTATTAACATCAAAAACATGTATAATACCAGACAATTGTTGCTATTTTTTAATTTGTCTAGTTTATTGATGTCCATTATTTTCTTATTCAAATCTTAACTTCTTGCATTGTTTGTCAATTTAAAATTATACATTTTGCGTTATATAAGTTAATTTACAAGTGCCTTTCCGTTCTTTCTCGAATATATCTTATATAGTTCGAAGATTAGCTACTTAGAAATTTCGCGAATGATCACTATCTGATTACAAAATAAACGTGGAACGTTCAGCTCCATACAGTTGACATAAGATATTTGAGGATTTAGTCCTACGCATCCAAGCAAGATAAGCGACCCAGTCAGCTTCCTGGTGCGATTTCCGACTTTGATAAAAGTAATGACTTGTCACAGATGCCACGTGAGGTTGGCGAGTTAATACATTCCTAAATATAATCGGATTTGGAAATAACATTTATTTAAAGATATATAACAATAACATTATGTATATGTAAAATAACGAGTATCTACTATATAATATTCAATGGAAAAATGCATTATTTGTGGTGAAATTTATATAAGACAACTGACGAGGGGAACCTCAAACTTACCCTTCTTGGATTTTGATGAAACTTTGCATGAAAAGTTCAAAATATTTTTGGCCTATGATAATTGGTTTATTTATAAAACTGAATTAAATATGGATTATGTATGTGTTAATCAGTATATAAAAAGAATATTATGTAAAATGTATACGTAATGATTTATTGATATTGATGGTTGAATTTATTTCAACCATCAACTTAATATATATCCTTGTATAGTAACAAATAATCCATTATCTTTTTTTCAATATTTTTCTGCCACATCCAGAAGCCCTCGGCCGCTCTTGCCGATTAAGATTAAATAGATCATGTCCAGAGCAAGCAGAAACCAATTAGCTTTAGACAATTAATCCATTTATTTTTCAATTTAAACGAAATTAATACTGGGAGATCAGTCTTTTCTAATCTTGTTAGGTTTGTAAAAATAATTTAGCTTAATTAAGTTTTATTTAATCTTGTTAAAATCTTGCTGTTTTTACTTGAATTCAATTTTCTCTCAGAATAGTTTATGATAAATGGCGGAATTGGTAATGCTCTTTTCTTAATTGAATTTTTTTTCATCCACCAGATAGTAGACTCATAAATTTGTATTAAAAATTTTATTGGATGTGGAAGCATACACAATCGCATGAAAAAATATTTGTTTGCAAGTATGTCCAAATGAATAAAGAACAGAATGTATAAAATTATAGTGGAACAAAAATGATTTCTCTATTAATATTTATAATTACTATTATGCTAGATGAAATTTTTCAATATAAAGTATAAAATTTAGTGTTAAAAAATTCACAATTATTTATTGATCGTGCTTTAAAGTTTCAATCGGGAAATGTTCATATAATTCTGCAAATTGTACAACTAATATAATCTGCTGGTAATCAGAATGTTTTCATAATCTGATCTAAGCCTGGAAATGTTGTATTATATTACTACTTGAAATAAAGTTATTCTCATAAAATTTTTAATAAAACAATTGAATCGAAGGAATAAAATTATGTTATTCACATATGCAAGTTCTAATTAAAATTCCAACTAATAAAGTATTTGCAACTAATTTTATATAAATACTATTACAGAAGTTTTATAACAAAAATAATCTGAACTTACAAGTAAGGTTCAGAGTTTTTACTCCACGATACGATTCCATTTTCATTTTGTTTCCTTTACGGCAATTATAAATATATTTTAATTAGATTCATAAGAAATGTAAAAGAATGCAGTTTTCTTTCTGGCATGAATAATTTAATAAAATTATCCTTGGAAACAATGAATTAATTGTTGAAGCTAATATAAAATTCAAAATATTTTATATCTTTCTTAACTTTTTGTAATATATGTGGGCTTATTTTGCGGTATATTGCTTATTCAGAATTATTTATTACAATAGTAAAGACGAAGGAAAATTATGTATTTATCTGTTAACAAATTAAGTAGTTTAAACTAGGTGGGTTTCCAATCTATACAATAATTTTAATTTTTTTATGTTTCGATTCAATATATTGTAGTTGATATCATAGATTTCACTTTACCTGCTAAATATAGGTATCATGAAGTTGTTGAGATTATCATGGACCAAATTTCTACAATTCGGTATATAACCTCCTTAGTATTGTTTTCTATTTACAACTATCTACATATAATAAATGATCAGTCAAGATCAGATTAACGTACTAACGTTGGCTCATACCTAGATGTAAATATTACACTAATGCATTAAAAAAGTTTTTTGAAAAATTTTTTTATTTGCTGTCGACGTTTCAGAACTATGAATGTTCCATCTTCAGGACATCTGTCAAGAAACATAATCTTCATAATGTCCCCTCTTTCACAATTTTATTTATTTTATAAAAATCCACTAATCTTTACTATTTTTAAGTATCGTTTGTTTAAATCTAATCAAGATCATGTTTCTTGACATATTTTTTTTTAGTTTATTGTCCATAGCAAACTATACACAGTATATTCAGCTATATATTATTACAGGTATATAAATTTTTCTTGTATCGTGTTTTTTCAGAAACCTCGTTCTTTCACCTTTAGAAAATTCCTCACCAAGAGGTACTCCTCGATCTCAACAGCTTTATTACTGAGAGAGCTATTGAGATCATTTTAAATGCCTTCGATGAATTTTATGTAACGAATATTTAACATTCATTAACTCGTCTTCTTTTTCATTGTCCGACGTAATCGAAATGACTAAGTGTAACAGATCACACATTATTCTCTCGCGAGTTGTGGATACTTTTGTTAAATGTCCGACGTATAGATGGTCCATCGGTTAAGGAATTGCTTTCTTAATATTATAGTCGGAGAGTTGGTGGTAATACACATAAAATGATCTACATTTATATAATAAAATTTTTACTTCCAAATAAAAATACCCTTCCAATCGTTTGAAAACGGTTCAAGATGATGATGCTCCTGAAGATTCAGATGTTGACTTTAACGATTTTTTATTACTACAATTTTTGTAATATTAATGCATTTGTAATTGATGCAGCAACGTCTGGTGAAGGCTATTTTTTCTTGGAAACATATTTCTAACTATATTTCCAAACGAAAACTGAAGTCAGAGATGATTGGCCTCAGGATGGTCAA